TCACATACATTAACCATGTTATGCTTTCCTAACTGGAGACTTTAATAGATAGTGTTTACATTAAACGTACATGAAATTCTGTTAATGAGTTTCTGATTCTTCCTCATGTTTGATACTTATACAAACACTTTAAACGTGGGCAAATATTGCACAATGATATCTGTATGTCTGTAAATTCTCCTTCAACACATTGTTCATGTTCTTTTCATGTAAATTTGAAAGCTCACTCTATGGCAGTTTGTAAGCAGAAAAAAATTAAGATAGGACTACTTCTATTCTCTGAACATAGATTTGTGAACAGAAAGTTATATCAACGTACTCACATTTATAGTGAAAGTCATTTGTGGGATTAATGAATCTTTGAACCAAGGAAAAGACATCAGACAGGTAATTTGGATTATTACACGCTACAAATTAACAGAAAGGCTGATAGTCATAGTAATTAACTCAAAAGCAACTCACAGATCGAGCATACGCTGTGGCAAAGCCCACTTCCAGATGATTCATAAATAGAAGAGAGCAAACTGATTAATCATTGTCCTGTGAAAAAAGTTTGCCAAAGTCTCTTATTGTACTTCTTTTCAGCTCCATCATTCCCTTGCATCTCTATTCCCCTTTCTTCACAGCAAGGACCTCGGTTACCTCCAGTGCGTGGACCTGCAAGGAGGTACTGTTGGCTGTAGCTTAAATGCAGCTCATCTATGATAGATAAGAACGAGTAAAGCTAAAAAGAAGCCTAAACCTTGTGGTCATATAAACTTTGATGAGAACAGAGTATGAATGCATGGTGATTGTGTGAAGGTCAGCAATTTCTGCAAAAGGAAAAGACAAAAACCATGAAAGACAGCACACCAGTATTGAGAAATCAGTCATACAGAGTGATCAAAGGGAATGAGAGGAAACTGAGCGTGAGACATATTTGTGACTCATTGCAATATAACCAATAGAATGTATTACAATATTAAAAGTCATTATAGAAATTGACAATCATACAGTAAGAGAAGCGTAAAAGGTCTCAAAAAATCACATATGTAAAGCAGTTTATGTAAAACAACTAAAAAGATGTAGAAGAAAAGAATACTACAGTAAAATATCTGTTTGTCTTTTCAATAAAGTACAACAATCACATTAAAATCTTCTAAAGTGAAAAAGATGACATTGCTAAAGAGTGAATCCTTCAAAGATGTATTCATGTACATGAACAGTCCCACTTTAACACATGGAAACACTTACGTGAGTAAAACTCACAGCAAATGTTTTAGGAGAACTTTGTGTCTTCTAACTTCCAGTTTTTCTTACATCTATTCATTTACCTCCATCAGCATTAGCAGCAGTATTAATATTGGTTGATGTCCTGTAGTATCATTTACTCACAATTTCCATGTGCTTCTATGGATAGCAGAGGAGTTACTGAACTCAGGTAGTCCCTAAGTGAATGCCCAGATCTTCCAGGAAGACCTTCCAGGTTGTGGATGCCCCATCCCTGGAGGTGTTCGAGGGCAGGTTGGATGGGGCCCTGGGCAGCCTGGTCTAGTACTAAATTTGGAGGATGGTGGCCCTGCCTGTGGCATGAGGGCTGGAGCTTCATGATCCTTGAGGCCCCTTCCAACCCGGGCCATTCTATGATTCCATGATTCTGTGATTCCAAGCCATGGTAGCATAAGCTGCTTTTCAGGAACAACTAGAAGGCGAGCTGTCTGCTCAGTTCCATCATTCTTCCCACAAAAATTGCATACCCAAACTGACTGCTAGCAGACAGTCAGACATCATATATTCACCATTTTTTCCACTACTGAAATAGAGGTTCAGTGTGATCCCTGTTGAGCAGACAGCCAGGTGAGCTTTCTGACTGCCTCTCACCACTCATACCATGAAGCAGAGTTACGCAAAGAAAATACTGCTGCCAACATCCAAAATACACCTGCAATTTGGGGCATCATCACATCCACTCTTACAGACAACAACCCCAACTCCTTTTCCCCTTTTCCCAGCAGATTCTCATAGTACTTTTGCCCCAGTGTTTCTCTTGTGGAGGATTCTTACCACACTAGTCTTGACAGAGAGTGGAAAAAATGTGATGAAGCAAGCATACTTTCAGTGGTTGGTAGAAATTCATGGTGCTTTAGTCTGTAGGCGTAAAATCAATGCTGCTTTTTCACTTGCCAGAAGCATCTCACATGTGATATATGGCAATTTATAGTTCAGATCACATACACTGAGTCAAACTCATTTCTTTTTTCTCTTCTCTAGTGCGTTACATTTAATTTTTCCCTAACTGAACAACATTGTGCAGTTGCAGTCATTACAACTATTCTCAGTCTGGATTTACCTTTGGAGGTCAATACTAATTATTCTCCATACATTCCCCATTTCAGAACTGCAAGCAGCTTTCATGTCTTCTCTATGGTTTTTCAGTTAGTCCAGAAAAAGGTATTAAGTCACCCTACAAGTCTTGCCATGGAGCTGTTCTGCCATTCATACAAAGAAAACTGTCTTTCTTCTCTGCAGAGTACAGTGAATTTTTCATCTTCTCACCTAACAATTATATCTTTTAAAGAAAAAAAGTAAATACAACATTAGTGAGGATTCAGTAACA